CAGAAAGCGAGCGGATCTCTTTAATCCGGTTTGACAGATCGGTTATCTCGGTTTAATGTATCTATTAATTGCTCTTCTCTTGATAAATTATTATTTATTTATAATATCGGTTTAGTTGCTCTTCTCTTGAATTGCATTTCTTTATTTTCTACGGTGCTTTGATAAATTTCTTGAAAATAAAATAGATTTAATAATGTTGTATTTTCTATATTTAATTTTTCTAAAAGTTTTGTGAAAATCGAAAATGGATTGTTTCCACATATTATTCGAATTTGAATTCCAAAGCTTGAAAATTTCAAAACATCCGAGTTTGGAATCCAAAAGATAGAATTGGAAAAAGGTAGTGGGCCATATACATAGTGGCCCATGGGCCGGAAAGTAGTGGCCACAACAAATCCGTGTTTTTTTTTTCTTCAAATGGATAGAAAAGGAATAATTACGGACAATTAGTAAACACGAAAAAGTCTTTAAGACATATGTGTAATTTAATAATATTGTAGGAATCCATAAGTGAATCCCACTAAGCGCGGTCATTGAACAAAACTAACAAGAAAAAAAAAAGATCCTCTGTGTAAAAAGCCAAAGGACAAAAAAGTCTTTTGATTTAACCCATACTTTACGGGTAAATTAATCAAATAATTAAGAACTAATCCGTAACTAATAATACCTCCAAAACAAACGTTAAACGCCAACAGAAATAAAAAAGATTAATATTTTGTATAAATCAGGAAGGAAATTTCCAGGAAACTACCATTTGTCACTCCATTCTCACTTCACTCGTCGTTTTAACCCCTCCTGCGTTTGTTCTCCTCCTCACTTCACCACATCATTATGAAATTCGCCAAATTCAATCCGAAGCGTTTGTTCCGATCCAAGGATCGATCTGTCGTCTCTCGATCCCAGACATCTTCGTTCGGATCCGTTTCGTCTTCCTCCTCCGTCGACCGGAAACATGCCGTCGCCGACGCTGGAACCGTCACGCCGACCAGCGTTCTCCCGGAGGTTTCCGGCGATTTCGCCGCTGTCGATGCGTCGTATCCGTACTCGTACCTTGAGCTCGTTCAGGCGTTCAAGCTGATCGACAAGGACAACGACGGCGCCGTCTCGAGGCAAGATCTTGAGGCTCTACTGAGTCGACTCGGTCCCGACCCGCTGAGTCAGGAGGAGATTGACGTGATGCTCGGAGATCTCGACCGCGACGGAGACGGCGCGATCCGCTTGGAGGCTTTGGCGAGCCGAGTGGTATCGGCCGGCGATCTGTCTCGCCACTCGGCGGAACTGAGAGAGACGTTCGAGTTCTTCGACGCCGATCGCGATGGTCTGATATCGGCGGAGGAGCTCCTACGTGTATTCGCCTCAATCGGGGACGAGCAGTGCACGTTAGAGGATTGCCGGCGCATGATAGCGGCGGTGGACGAGGACGGCGATGGATTCGTGTGTTTCGGTGAGTTCTCAAGAATGATGGAGCTGCAGAGATGATGATCTCTCTCTCTCTCTCTCTCTCTCTCTCTCTCCGTATTTGTTTCTTGTTTGGCTGTTTTTGCCCTAATGCTGGGTTCTCTGTCTGGATATCTTCTATGTTCCTTCTTTATTATATTAGGATTCCATGTAGAATGTCTATAATCTGGACTCAAAAAAAATCTTTTTTCCACGTTTAAACTTCATTTCTGATACACGGGCTTTATTAATAATTTTTCCTGAATCTTTTTGTGTATGGCAAAGTGGCGAAACAATGGTCCTTATCATCTGCCTCTATTATATTTTTTGTTTCCTTATATAGATTGAGATCTAGATTTAGATTCATCCCCTTTGTACCAATTCTGTGAATCTTCTAGCTTGATTATATATTAGATTGACCGTTTCTGAATGAATATTTAAAAAAAAATCTATAAGAATCTTTGTTCTGTTCTGTATCTCCCTCCAGCCAAAAACAAAAAAACAAAAGATATTCAATCATGTGGAAGTGCGGTTTGGTATTAATATGTTCTGAAAATTGAAGAAGTCCAATAGCCCATATAATATTGGCCCATTTTTTGACCAACCATTTAAATCACGTGTTATGTTTTTCCATGAATATTTCGGTTCTAAAAGCGAAAATCTAATGGTATATTGTTTGAATTAGATTTAAACAATTTTAAATTAAATTTATTCAACATCAATTGAATATAAAATAATAAAAAAATATTGAACGCAAAATATTTTTTAAGAAATTAGGATATTTTAAATAAAAAATAGAATGTAAAATCAAATCTATTAAAGCTTGATAATAAAAAGAAATATATTAATTTGCTAAAAAAATTTAAAATATGATTATGAAAGTGGTAGAAATTAAATACAACCAAATCCATTTTTTTCTATTGCTAATACAAGGAAGCTCATCTACCCAATGTTAGTAAAATCTATTTGAATTAAATATATATTTCAAATATAACCCGTGTAGGTCTAAATAAGATCGCCGTGAAATAATAGTCGGATAATGTGATATTAAGAAAACTATTAAAAATTTGAAATGTACTCGGCTTTTATTATTATTGTCGCCATCATTAATTAATTTTTTTAAAAACGACAACCAAAATATTATTCAGACCAACAAATTACCATATAACTATTTTACCTCATATATATATATATATATATATATATATATATATGTGTGTGTTTGTGTGTATATAATATGTGAG